AGTTAAGTTTATTAGGCCAACTTTTCGGCAACTTTGCCTTCGTTGCCGAAACGTTGGCCTAATAAACTTACTAATCTTGGACGGCTACAATAAAGTACTCATCTGAGATGACTGGGTTTCTGCTAAAGCTACTCAGAGGTCCTAAATGGTACCGATCAATAAAACTCTGACCATGTGAACTCTGGGGTTCCTTCTCACCACCTCTTCCTTACACACAAGCCTTCTTGCCCTCAGCCCAAGAAAGCTTCGCTCCTCCATTCTGGGCTGACTCAGCTGATCCTTATCAAAAAGCTACTTCGTACAGAAGTTACCGGAGCTCCTTTCCTTGGCATTACAACGTCCTATCTTGACCATTATTGTTAGAACCACAGAGCAAAATGTGGTGCCCCCACAAACGCCACTTTCACAATGTACAGTAAGTATAATATAAGCAGAAGCAAGTCTACTACTTAGGGAGAGGAATAAATCAACCTGAACAGAAGAAGTGAGAATGCTGGTGTCGTCGGTGCGACATCATTCTCAGAGAGCACATACAGCCAATACCTCCCCTCTCCCCATTCCCCCTAAGACTAAGCCTTAAGGGGATTGGCAGAGGGGAAGTGCAAGCAATTTTTATTACCTCCTAGCTTAGTCCGCACAAGGATGCTCCACCTGACAACGCCAGCGCCGGAGTGAGATTCAAACTCGGCCTAAGATGCCGAGCTCAGAATCACTTTACGTATCTACAGAACAATCCTTCGAAAGAAGTTATAAAGCGGAAAAGCGCAGCGATGGTGTTTAAAGGTAAGAATTTCCGTAGGTTTTCTCTATGGTCGGCATTAGTATAGCTAAGAAAACATGACCTATTTCCAGCGACGCTTGCCTTCAGCTGCCTGTATGAAGAGCTTGTAATCATTTGATGGCACTCTCAATGATAATAATAGACAAGTTAGCGTGTGCGAAAAAAAACTTGCACAGCTACTTGCAGAAATTGGTCAGCAGGCACGGACAGTTCTAAATTCAGCGTCTCGAGGTCAATAAAGACCTTTCGATTGACCATGTGACCTGCTTACTTTCCCTGGCAAGCATTATCAGTAGTGCGATGATCACGGAAGAGCTTGCAGCAAGAACGTGTAGGAATTGGTCAATCAAGAAATATCCTAGTATTGGTCACGATTGCTTGATTCTCATAGGCGTCAGATGCGTCCTTCTCCTCTGCCAATCTTAAGTGCATTGCATTCACGCCGTTCTCGTCGTGCTTCTACCCTGCGGCAGGACCATTGAGGAAAAAACAAAGTAGTCGGCAAGCCGGTAAACTATACGGATCAGTGAAGACCTGCCCCACTCGTGTTGCATCGCGACAGCAATGCAGTCTGACACCTACCTTATAATGGGCCGATGCAACCTTCGAAAGTAAGGCTCCTCAATATAGCAACTGCAGTATTTAAGAATGAAATCAGTCTTGTAATCGGATCTTTTTCCAACTTACTTACCTTTACATTTCCTTTACCGTCTAGAAGAATGTTTTCTGGTTTTATGTCACGATGAATAACTCGTTTTGCATGACAATAGCTGAGTGCGTCCGCAAGTTGACGAACATATCTAAGTAAGCCCATTATATTACCAAAATATCAACGTAATTCAATATCGAATCACAAAAAGATACCGGGCTGCTTCTGGTTCCTCGAGTCTACCCTTCTTCTTCAAGCGAGAATATAATTCCCCACCATCGGCACATTCCAGAATAATGTACACGCGGCGTTCATCATGGAAGTAGCCTTTCAATCGAAGAATGTTGGGATGCCTTGAAACAACCGTGTCACTGCTAAATTCTAAAGAAAATTTGTACAAACATCCGTACCGCAAATGATATTGTATTTCGATTTCGCGCTTGACTTGATGCTGGACCTTGTGCTTCTTGATTTGATCTTTGAACAGAACCTAAAATAAATCGTATAGCCAGTGCGATGCAGCCGCAAAAAAAGAGATATGCAAGCCAGGTAAAGCAGAGGTAAAAGGGATACAGGATGAAGCTTTCAGCGTTGACCGAACACTTTCAAGATGCGTCACGAATCCCCACTTCCATTCAAAACCGCTGTGGCATATAAATGAGGTAAACGGTACAGGTCATTGTTTTGGTCCTCCCAGATGAGTCTATTACCAGGACCGACCCCGGAGGCTTGAATGACGTGGGCGAAATTTGAATACAGATCTGACTCCCCGGACCGTGCGCATAGGAAGTGCGTTACATGCCACTACTGCCAAAGCTAAAAGTTGCTCCATTTTTCAAGAACCGTCCGTAGATCGACACCTGTCTAACGCTGCGATCATTACGATCGGACGACTGACTGTGAAAGTACCTTAGGCGATAAAATGAGGAATTCAAATGATGTTATAGTCCATATCTCGTATGGAGCGTTCAGAGTTGGTGATCGTGCGTGCGATTTGGCGATTGGACGATTAGTCTATAATGAAAACGTACAGATTAGGCGATTAGGCGGGGAAGGCAACATACGTATTGATTGGTTTGCTCCGCCCATAGATAGATGTAGGCGATTAGGCGATCTAATCGCTCAATGGGCGGAGCAACAAATCAATACGTATCCTTCTCTTATCGCCTACTCGCCTACTCGCCTAATCGACTAATCGCCTCGCCTTATCGATACATATGCTTTTCTTTTCAAATCATCGCCTTATCGCCTAATCGAGCTTACGATCGCCAACTATGAACGCTCCAGCAGTAACATTAGGAGTGCCTGTGGATTTGACGTGTGGATAGCTGTTTCTAACACACTCTGCTGGGTATCATCAATGCATGCTGGAAGCAGCTTACTTGCGCAACTTCTATCAAGTGCGACGGCTTCCACGTCAAACCCATAGACACGCCTAATCTGACGCGAGTACAGATCCCGCTATAAACTTCGCGCAAAACTGATCAGTCGCGCACAAAACTCACCTTGCATTTTTCGAAGTGTGGGTATAAGTCACAGTAGCACAAACCTTCAATGCGACTACGACACGTTCTGGCTTATAACGAGCGAGGAAAACGGAACCGAATTTTCCTTTGCCAAGCGGCCGTCCAATATCGAAATCGTCAATTCCCCACATCCTCTGCGAACTGAAACTTGATATGATAGGTTCAGAGAACATTGCGGAACAATGTCCTCAAACTGACTAAAACGAGAAAAACATTTCCATCCACAACTTACTTAGTTCGAGTAGCCTCAGAAGTAGAATTTTCCACATTAGTCGAGATAGCACTGGGGTTCCCCTGAATGATTGAATGAATTTGATAAGAATGAGTGTTTAGAGAGGCCTGCGAGGAGTCAAGCTCCAGTCGATTTCTAACCTGAAGTTCCACCTCAGACGCCAAGGGTGGGGCTGCAACTTCAGTCATCTAAAAGTGATGTATAGAGATAGCTAAATTAAAAGCCTGACTGTGGGTATGTTTGCAAACTAGTTCAAGATCCATTAGAATCAGTATAAATGCCCTCCTGTCACAATTATTCAAAGAGTAAACGTTTATATTGATAGTGCATCAAAGAACGGACAACACAACCCACCCCGCTGGGAAGAGAACAACTAAAGGAACCCGTCTAGCCACGATTCAAAATGATTCCGTGAGATATGAAAATGAAAGTTCCCGCCGCACGAGCAGAAGTGGCCGTGGGACGCGAATTTACCATGGGTCGCTGGTTGCTCTGTTCAATTTCTATCAGTATATTTCGGTAGTTTTAGTTCAACTTCGTATAGCATACATTATACGAATCTTAACGCGTACTGGGAAGAAGGTATTGTTTCAAGCGGTTGTACTGGGCTCGAGACTATGCAATCTTCGCATTTCCACCATTTAATCGGTCTCACCATTTTGCGCTTATTCCTGAATTTCAATTTTTCTTTATTAATAGTTTCGCTATAGGAAACATCAGGGATCGACTAATTGGGTTACTCTCAACACCAAAAATCCAGTAAATTTCTCCAAACTATTGATCATTCATATTTCACTAAGCAAAATTCATAGGCAGGTGTTCCGATAAAATGGAGGTCGTAGTGGAGGGAAGGGGAGGGTGAGGGGAGGGGATAGCATCTACCCTAACGGAACAGTCGCCATGAGGGAACAGACTACGCGCGTTTTGCAGCCGAAGAGTATCCCCAGCGGCTTAACAGTGAAGCAGTTGGTCCGGAAGCCTTCCGGCGGTAGGTGCACCCATAGAGGCTCTGAGGCGCTCCTGCCGAAGGAAGGATGCCGGATGCCTGGAGAACAAGTACTATCGTCCCCATCTTCAAGCAGAAGGGTGACGCGATGGACTGCTCCAACTACCGCGGGATCAAGTTGACTGCGCATACCATGAAGTTGTACGAGCGCCTGGTCGACTCGAAACTGCGGGAGCTGGTCCAGATCTCCCAGGAACAGTTCGGGTTCATGCCCGAAAGGTCTACAACGGATGCCATCTTCATCGCTAGGCAAGTGATGGAGAAGTATCGCGAAAAGCGCCAGGCCTTGCTACCTAGCCTTCCTCGACCTGGAGAAGGCGTTCGACCGGCTACCGCGAGCAGTGCTACTGGGAGGTCGCTTAGGGAACGGAACGTGCCAGAACACCTGATCTCTCTGGTGAAGGACATGTACGATGGGGCGAAGGCAGCTATACGCACCCCACACGGCCTAACGAAGGAGGTGGACATCACGGTTGGGGTGCACCAAGGGTCAGCTCTGAGCCCGTTCCTCTTCCTCCTAACACTAGATGTCCTGGTGAAGGGGCTCATGGAAGGGACCACTGAAGACTATCCTCTACGCTGACGACATCGCCTTGATAGCGGATAGCAGAGAGGAACTACAGGGCAAGGTGCAGAATGGCAGGAAGTGCTGGCAGAAGGTGGGCTTCGGCTGAATGTCAAGAAGACCAAGTTCCTGAGCTCTGAAGAGGATTAGAGCCAATCGTAGACGGCCATGGAGAGATCATCGAAAGAGTGGAGGACTTCAGATACCTCGGGAGCGATCTGGCAGCCGACGGAAGTGTGGATCAGGCAGTGAAGGCTCGAATCAACGCTGCATGGATGAAATGGAGGGAGTCCACTGGAATCCTCTGCGATCGAAGGTGCTCCAGAGCTCTCAAAAGGAAGGTAGCAGAGGTAAGGCCTGCGATGCTATAGCGACCAGCGAGTTGCTGGCCCCTGAACAAGAATCACGAAAGGCAGCTTCACTCCGCTGAGATGAGGATGCTGAGGTGGGCCTGCGGCTGGACGCGACTGGACAGGTTAGAAACGAGGATGTCAGAGCGGTCATGCAGACTGCCCCTGTCCAGCTGAAGGTACGAGAACAGCGTCTGCGATGGTATGGGCATGTGCTAAGGAGGCCACAGGACCATCCGATAAGAACAGCGATGGACTTCGAAGTACAAGGCAAGCGACCGCGAGGAGCCCCGAAGAAAAGGTGGAAAGACGTAATCAAGAAGGACCTAGGTGAGGTCGCGGCCACGATGGAAGATGCCCTGGACAGAGCAAAGTGGCGACGGCTGACAAAAACAGCGGACCCTGCGACTGCGCGGGACTAACGCTAGGGAGAAGAAGAAGACCTCAGCAACGAGGGCCAACGCAGGAATCAACGTCCGAGAAATTGCGTATCGTGGCTTTGAGCCATTCCCTCAAGTTTTTATCCACAGATGCACCTCGTAGGGATTCTGATTCACTCACTGAGTCACGAGGGTGGAGTAGTTTTTGAATATTTAGCTTGAAGACACTTTGGGCGACCACTAAATAGGAGCAATACCCGCTTAGAGAAGAGTCATACAAAGAGTAGACAAAAAAGTCCACTTGCACATTTAAAGGAAGCAGTCACGCTGGCTTCCACGCTGGATTTGCTACCCTCGCGTTATCAATCGATAAGGTGTGAGGCAGTAATTGTTGGACGAGTGTAAGCCCATGGAAGATATGATACGATGAGATAAGAAGGTGCGGCTGCTTGATAAGAGGTGCACTCCAGAATGAAAACGGGACGATAACGATAACGGTATCATATCTAGCACGCTCTTATCGCACCCCTTTCCACATCGATAAGTCTTGGTTTTTGCTGAACTTGAAGTGAATTTCGGCGCCTTATCACTCATTGATAAGGCGCCACTGCCACTGAAACTTCACGTGTTCTAACATTGGGCAGGACCTCTATCCACTCCAATACATAGCTTTCCTTATCGTTGCCATGAAAATTATCGTGACTGCTTCCTTTAAAGGAAGCGATTACGATAAGGAATTTTCGCATCGGGGGAGAACCTGCGCCACACGGAGCAATTACTTGGCTGCCAAGGAAGCGATGTGTGGTCCTCCCACGGCGAAAGGTGCTGTGGTTGCTGAGCAGGACCCGTGTGACGCTCCGCCCCCAGTGACGTAACGCCCACTAGTTTTGTTGATGATCTGGATGGACTGTTTGCTGTTGGCTTTTCATTTTGGATGATCATTTCCCTTCTAGCGGCTGTATCTTCCAACTTGCCCACGTATTGCCTTATCAATCAAAACACTATGCTTGTTGGCATGATGGCGGCTATCGGGGTTAACACGTCCGAACAACGTCGTTCTTTACCGTCGCTCATCCATGGTCGAAAATGAAAGGGCAATCAAAGGGGTACTATTTTGCTTATTTTTGACGGATTTCTTTGCTTTTTTCGCCATTGGCGTACTATTGAGACCCTCACGTCCCCTCTAAACCCCTGTGAGATCTATCGTAATCGCTTCCTTTAAAACGGAATTAAATAAAATTTTGCCGAATTCCAATCGGAAGATCTCAACTGAACATTAAGGAGCACATTCCAGTCTATCGTAAAACCTTCAGAAATGCCTCCTACACGACGATATCAGGAAATTTTCTCCACGGAAACCTGGTGCACGATTCTAGCTTAACGAGGTCCTTGACGGATCGTAGACCTAACCTTATCTGAAATGCTGATGAAAAGCGGTGTCGCTTGGTAAAGCCACTGCCTCAAAGTAATATCCATCAGTTCGATGGTTGAAGAAATTATGTAGCAGCTCCAGGCTGGAGCGATAACTGTAGAACTCCTGTGCTCCAGGGATATGACAGATGACGTATATCCTGACTGATTATGCTTATGAGGGACATCTAAGGATCTCCGTAAAATTTCCATCAGCGGCGGCGCTCTGTACTCTGAGAAGTCTATTGATGTGCGTGCCCCCCCCCCCTTCCGCCCCCTGTAGAGGTGCAAAATAGGCCCGTACTGTGGTGGAAAAATTGGAACAAAAACATAAACGCTGTGAAACAACGGTCGTTCAGGGCGTGAAGCTTTTTTCCCAAAATAGTTTTCTCCACATGGTAAAACTTTGCGTGGGTCATAAAACCGCGCTACATTTTCGTTGAGCAGCTGCCAAAGTGGTCCAAGGCTGAATTCCGCTGACAAATTTCGCATTTCACTATGGAGCTTCCAGATCTGCTCCAATAGCGCAACCGCAAGTGGTAGGTGCCATTTTTACTACCAGGACATCAGTAGTATTTACCATATACCTTGACTTTATTGAAAAACGGTGGAAAAGGTGAATAAGGGATATTCATTGAAGCAGAAGTTCTGGAAGAAATCGAACAATTTGACCAAATTCTACAAATATTGACCATTGATGAATTATTGGTAGCCCATATACTTCAGCGGAGACTTCGATACAGGGTCAACGGTCACGCTGGACAAATTTCAAAAGTTTGCCGACCCCCCCCTCTCTGGGTACCTCGATACGACTCCCCCAGGGTCAACCCTACCGCTGGTACTTTTTGGAAAATTTTCACGACTCCCTCCACCACCATGAGACTCAGGAGGTCCACCAATAATGACCACCACCCTTACCATCAATAGTTGTTCCGGCAGTAGTAGCCTTTGATCGCCGCGGGGGGGGGGGGGGGGTAAAATAAACTATCACAATCAACAGTGAAACGGTCAATATTCTTTTTCCTTACCCCCTCCAAGCGTAAAGCGTCTCACTAACTCACTACGACCTCCCGTGCAGTATGACCTGCTCGACGTGTCGCCATAATGACCCCCCTTTTCGTAGGGCGAACACGACCCCACTCGTTGGAATTTGTCCAGCGGACGATTGACCCTGCTTCGGTATAAGTTCTTCATCATCTATCCATTATTTTTTTGTGCGCCCCAAGTAACGCGCTCTTACATCGACAGAATAGGAAAGGAAAACAACAAATAAGCAAAAAAAAAAACAAGGTAATCGAAGTCAGATCATCCATCACATATCACCGTAGTAGTGAAATGGACCAGAATTCTATACAATGGAATATGGCTGAGAGATCGAAGATATCCTTCTTGAATGATAGGACATCCCACCACAAATGGTGAATAAAGACACCGCTGGTGATCGACGAGAGACCCGTATAATGTTATAGACATCAGGTTCTCCTCCCCATCAAGGATTGGCCTGCTGAATCCTCAGCTCTTGCCAGGTTTCCCCTCGATTGCTCGACGGGTCTCAAAGACCGCTTCCCGATGAAAGATGTCACCCAATGGAAGCGAACTTTTCGTTAATCATCAGAACATATCACTCGTTTTCCCGTACCACGACTCTTCTTGAAGGCAGTTCACGATGAGAAGGCAGCCCATTAGAAATCGATGAAAGTGCTCAGTGGTGCTGGGATGTAGACCTCGGAAATGGCCCAGAACCCATGAAATAGGACCCCCTCCCTTGCCCGATTATTTGGGCATTGATGCGACTCTCATCGGTGCTGCCCTCTTCAACGCAAACGCACACTGCTAAACGGCTAGAGTCAGGCGGCGGTAGTGTGATTGACAAGAGGACCCTTTATGATGTTATAGTTCAGGGACGTGGGTATGACCTCGCTATCCCGCTGTCGTTGCTGCAAAACGCGAAACTACCGCACTTTTAGGGGGAGCGCCTGCCTTTCAACTAAGTATAGTTCCCATTTTTCGACCTCTGACCTTCTCGTGAAGCCCTCCTTTGAAGTCGTCCGCCGGCATGCAGGATGGGCTATAAACCCACGATCTCCACCAGGTTTTTCGAAGCTAGATCAGAATCTTGATTATATTCTGGAATTGTGAATATAAGGCACGCCAGGGTCCTGATTATTTCATTATAAACTTGGGATAAAAATTCACTTCTGGCGTCGATCCATTTGGCGCCAGAGCCAAAAATGAGTTGGTTCCTCCACGTTTCCGATTGAAAAAAACCCATTCGCATTGGTTAGTGATGGTTCTGGTCAGGGATATAACGTCCATTTCGGCGCTGATATCGTACTATGCTGATCTGGAGGCTGCTATCAAAAATGGCCAATTCCAGCATGGTTTACTGTCGACATCGCCTATGAATGCCCTACCCCTTCTTCAGTACCTACCACTGTCAGTACTTTATTTTCGAACAAGTTTCACATTTATTTGGATGTCTTTTTCAAAGGCAACCAATGTGCGAGCACTCCTCCCTGCAAGTCCTCTACAGCACTCCAAAGCTGTGAGAACAGCCCACCCTAACAAGTTCTTCGCTCCTTTTTGACATTCAAAAGGGTCGTACAGCAAAATGGTTCCAGCCCAGGCGAGAGACCCTAACATATGCAAAAAACCGTTCCAAGAACGCTTCATCCCTGACCAACTTCAACCGTGAAATAAATCTACCCTACCCACGATCTACCGACCCAGGATGAACCCACCCGTGTCCATTGCGGGAAATCTTTCAAAGCAACAGTCCCAGTGGGGTGGGCGTGGTCGGAAACGACTGCAATCCCCTCGGCCGATTCCGACCACGCCCACTTCAGCTCCCTCCCTAGCGGCTTTCCAAGGTGAGTTTTTGTTCAGTCACACTTCTTACGTTCTTGACTAGGGGCTGAACAGCTCCGAAGTGGGAATCGGCCGAGGGGATTGCAGCCGTTTCCGACCACGCCCACCCTGCTGGGACTGTTGCTTTAACAACTGTAGGACACCAATTACATTTCTTTATTTGCTTGACTTCCTGTGTCTATTTCCCCTGCGCGACCTCCACCAAATAGGTTGCTGCGGGTGTTTCCACTTTGTCTGCTAGTACTCCCTCTTATTACCACTTGTAGAACAATCAGTAGGTTTCTAAAAACATACATGATTTCTGTTATTTTATGCAATGTATCGATTGGTGTTATTGAAGTACGAGTCGATGTTATTAATAGCAGCAGTATTGCATAGCAAATTAAGAGCATTGTTGCACAGCCAAGAGACATCACATGAGCTCATTCGGAAGATTATTGTATACCAAAACATACAAGCGCCAGAGACGGAATACCAAAGGACAATTTACATACAACAGGAATTCATTAAGTGAGATGAATGACACAACAGTTATTGCTCGTCCTTGTCCTTGGTTCCATGCTTGAGCATACGGGTGAACTCAACGTAGTCAAAATAACCATTTTTGATTGGAGCGTCACGGAACAACTCGTCCACCTAAACAAAGGAATCATTTAATAAACGATAACTCTAGTCACGCCCACATAAAAAGAATGAATCGAAATTTGAAACTGGATGTCTCTCTTAACAGATTCTGGTGGAACTCTACTCTTTCCTCCAAAAGCAAGAACACGTACATTACATTTTTTCGAAACTTGTCATAAGGGAAAAGTTTTGTGTAATATTACTGGAAAGCTTTTTTCAAAGCCCTGCAACCGGTAGAAACAAGACATTGCTGAAAAAATAGCCGTCATGGCGTTTCCCTCTAACCTGCTCATGCGTGTATCGATCACCCATTGTGGTCAGAAGCTCACGGAGACGATCTTCCGTTAATTTTTCCCGAATTGTCTTCATCGAAGCATTGAAAAGCGTTTCGTATGACTTCCTCAGGATCAGTTCCTGGAGGAAGACTGGTAAGGTTTTAGATTTCATCAAAGCCAGTCACTTTCGGAGTAGTGATACAAACCTGTGAGTTTTTCTCCAAACAACGTCAGGAACATGGTAAAATTGATAGCTCCTGGTGCTTCGTTGACCATGGCATCCAGGAATTGCTCATTGACGTCTTTGCCTAAAAGCAGA